GGCTTGAGCTCGGCTGAAAATTGTGTTGTGCTCCTGGACGAGACACTTTATTTTCTCAATGCCGCTCGCCACCCAGGGGTATAAATGGGTAGTGGTGAACTGCCAGGGAGGCGTGACGAAATGCTGTGAGGGTGGGGTGGGGGATAACCTGAGACGACTACATCTCCTCAGTGGGGTGGGGGGGAGGGGATGTTCGTGCATGTGGACTCTTCATGTCATAACAGTTGTGATAAACCAGGCCCTGATCATGGAAACACCCAGAGAAAGTGAATATTAGAAGCTAATAGTGGATGTACATATGGACGTCAGAACTGCCAACGTTAATCAAAACTTCGCAATCACGCCACGCGATACGCAGTTTCATTAAGACAGTTTTCTTAAAGTATCGAGACCAAAGGATACGCTCGGACGAAAAGCAACTAGGAAATGGCAAATGACGTCATAACAAAGAGGGGTTCTCAAGAAGTTCTTAGGTAGAAAGATATACCCCGAGGACATTCTATTGAGCAGCACGTTCTTTAAGATTAAATGAATAAATTTCTCCTCAGGTGACGACGTCACTGACGCACAGTGGACACAGGTGTGACGATGACAGTTAGTGCCATTGTGGTAAAGTTGAAGAAGGTGTAGGTGGGTCTAGTGATGTTAGGTCGCAAACGGTAATACAGAACAGCTATGCATCACTGCGTATTACCGATCCTTGGTTGTGTCTCAATAAAATTTTCTTAATACCCCATAAGGGTCTGTAGTATTCTGATGATCCCGCTCATTAGCGGTCAAATTTCTTAATTTCACCCCTCCAAACTCTGTTAGAGGCGACTGATCTCCCTTCATACCCCCTTGAAAACCACGTGATCCTCCCCCCTCCTAGAATCCTTCGACCCACCCCGAAGGGGCTAAATAATGACGGGTCCACTTATTCCTTTTTTGAGTCTACAACATGTGGTTTACAAGATGTTTTTAATTTTACTTTTTATAGAACTCAGCTGGATGAATTTAGAGTGAAATTTGAGCATTATCAAAGTTTTGGGCAGTTCGTGTTTGGCATCATTTGCAAAAGTTTCATAGATTCTACATACCTGTAGTAGAATTGACGGCGGGAGTTCTGGGGGCTATGAAATAAAAAAATACATATCACTATCATTTTAAAAAGTGACATTTTCTTCCTACATAAACAAACACCAGACGTGCGCAAGTGAACGAAAAGGTGTGTACTAAGACGATCGGTATTGTAAACGATTGGCGCACGTCTTCGAGATTGCTTCACTCCACTGAAGACAACAAGGAACAATATTCCCCCTGTTAAATTTCTCAAACGTGCATTATCAGAAGAATTTCCGTCCTGAGAATAGTTCAAATCAGAAAAGCAACTACTCACCAGGCGAGGAATTTTTTTTAATTCGTTTGTACAGCATGGAGAGATACGTCATTACGCTCATCTCGTCAATCTCTTCCATTGATACCAGGTCACTTGCGTCCAAAAGAGCTGGAACTTTGAGTTTTTCCTCGGCCACTTTGAAAGCCTGAAATATAAAACTTACTTTGCTCAACACAGCTAAAACGTGAGGCAATGCGCTCTTTGACTTAAGTAAGTTCTTGAATTTCATTCATCGTCCTTGCTCTGTTTTCCTCAAGTCGTCCGTTCGTTTATGGAGAGACTTGAAAATATGGAGATCAGTTATACATATCACAAAACTAAAGCTCTCTCTTTCTCGAGAATGCACGGTTTGGTCCAAATAAACCTACCAATTCATTGTTTTTCAAGGCGTCCTCCTTAGAAAGGTCGTCAAATTTGCTGCAAAGTGAAAGAAAATTATCAGAAATATCTCTGTGGAACCAATCCGCAAACCTTAACTTGTCCAACTCAATATTTAGAGACCCGCGTCATGTTAACATTATTAGGGACCGCCATTGTAAGTCTAAAATACAACTATACCATGCTTTCATTTTAGCATCATTTCAAAATCTGCTAATAATTATATTTTCCCCACCTTCGGCTTGTCTTTTCCTCCAACCTTACAAAAAAAGTTTATTGACATTATCCATTGATGGTTCACTTCCTATACACTATTTAGAGCAGAGTCGAAAGTTCGCCCTCTTAAGGGTATCTGTATATTTCATATTTACTTGTGCATTTAAAAACTTTAGTTAAGGTCAAAGTCGAAGAAAAAAACATACAATTTAGGTTCTTATAAAAGGGGTATGACTCAAAATCAAAGTGCTACGATCAATCTCGAGCCAGAAGTAGGCGTTAATTTTTTTTTGCATAATAAAGCTTCTGTGGCCTTAATATTCTTGTTACCATGGCTGCAATCAATAACGCTCTATTTGTTCGATGTTTATCAATAATTTTTAACGTTTCCACTTAACTTTAATATAAAAGACACAGTTTGAACGATTACTCGTATGTAAAGGCGGCAGTGAAACTCTTCCAATTTTATTTTTCACTGGATGTCTGCGAGATGAACACGTTGCAGTTCTTTAAAATCTATACTTAAATAATTCAATATTTTAGGGACACTTTTGCATTGATACGTGCCTCTTGGTTAAATCTCTCGTCTCGCTTGGTGACCTCAGACAATCAATTAACATAAATAAGTTTGGGTTCACTTCAGAGGATTATACAGATTAGAAAGTTTCCCGTGATGTTACATGTCGCGTTCGCATCACATACCGCGCACATATGATGAACAAATGCTAAAAAAAGCAGAAGTTCCAGTTACAAGTTACTGCAGTTTTCACGAATCTCCTCTGTCTTCACTTAAAATATCACTGCGTCATTGTCTTAGTTTCTCACAAAATATCAGAAGTTAATTATTGTAGCAAATACTGCGGATAGTGGCATTTTAAAATTGTAATGACCAAAAATTTACCTCGGTGTGGTAAAAAACCCCAACTTCCCTTTCCCTGAGTGAAACCTTTGTTTTCAATTTCGAAAAAAATACTGTTATTTGTGTAGACTTTCTTCGACTGTCTCAGCCATAAACAACCTTTTGTTGCTCGCTAGGGTGAAAACAGAGAGGGACAGAGAAAGATAGCGAGAGATCGAGAAAGAGGGAGACATCAAGAGAGAGAGTCGAGTGCAATCATTTTGAATACCTACATCAGTTCGGGATCGAATCTGTGTAAGAGCGCGCAAAATGCCAAGCCATCCCTCCACGAAGAGTTTAAATTACGCACGCTCACGCCTTTGTAACCGTACGTTTGTTGCTTACACCATTCCAACAGAGCTTCTTTTCCTTTTAAATTTCGTGATCTTGCAGCCTGTCTTGTGGACATGATGCAATCAATAAATAAAATTTCAAAATAATAACTTGGGCAAATTTTTAGTTTGCTAGTGTCTGTCGTGGCGTCAAGATGCTGACTGATGAAATTTGCCTACTTCACTTGGTTTCGTTATGGAAATTTGACGGAAGTTTGTCATAAGCAGGTCTTTTCAGATCTCTCAAGTGAGGTCAGCGTTGATGTTTTTTTCATTATCGCCTTCCTGTGGGTTTTATTACGGCACGCGCGTGCATGTGTTGTCCATAAAACAGCTATATTTGCGGTCTGTTTTATAATCTCTCCAAGGTGGTCTGAAATACTCATTTATCTCAGTCGATCTTTGGTCAGGTAGCGATGTAGAACAACAACTTTGAAGTACCCGATATCAATTGTTTTGAGGGTCATAGAATATCAAATAATTGAAAGATTGCATCTAAAGGCGAAAATACAATTGCTGATGCGATGCTAACAGCCCAACCAACATACTGACAGGTAAAAGATATCGACAGTATATTATAGCACTAATTTAAAACCTCTTACGCGGCATAACAGGCATAAAATCCTTAATGCTAATATGACCTTGGACGGAAAGATGAAAACAACAATAACCTTTAAATCTTAGAAGTTTTGACAATAGACTTTAGTAAGGATAAATGAGCGATGATTGCAATAACTAGCTACTTGCATCTCGACTAAAATGCCAGCTGGGATGGAATGAATAGAATGTACTGAGTTATTTCCAAAAGGGAAAGTCTTTGTAAAACCCACAAATTGTCCCCATTGCCTGGTGTGTTTTCAATCAGTTAGCTTTTTACGTCAGAGAAATCTAATGCAACTCCCAAGTCACTCCTAAGGCTTGAGTTTGGAAATTTATGTCGAACTGTTAAAATGAAACTGACTTATTGTAACTTTCGCTTCGGTATGAAGTACGTTGATTTTTTTTTGCGTCGATGCCAACATATTTTTGTAATATCATTGGCAACTTGACTGCAAATTGAAATCGAACCAAGTATAAACCGCTAAAATATTTCTGGACTTTTCGATAATGCGAAAACAAACTGTACATGTTTGACCAAGAAACACGAGTTAGCAGTATTGATTATATTAAGATAGCAAAGATTCATCAAATGATTTCATGTATTATACGTTATAGAACGCACACAAGAAAGAGGTTTTTTTCTATACATGGGGTGCAAATACGTATGATTGAGTGTTTGCTAGAACATATTATTATATGGAGTGACAGTGTTCTTGATAACAATCGCTGGAAACTCCACCGGATACTGTTTGAGTTTATGCCCAGTTTCTTTGTCAGCTCAAAAACCCACAACTGACGAAATTATTTACGTGACTCAAACGCCCCGGAAATCCGAAAAAACTTGAGTAGTAGTAGTAGCGCAGATCTGGACTGAATTATTTGTAAGGCTTCGATCCAAATGCGAAGGAAGGATTATGTAACAGAAGAGCTTCAGCGTTTCACATCATCCAGATGCTATTGATTTTAATAAAAATATGGTTTTTCGTCTCATAAATAGCCTTCGTCTTTCCTTTTTCGGTCTATCTTAAAATATAACCAGCAAGAACAGTTACGCACTCAAATGATTCTGCTTTGTACAATATTGGGCCAAAAAGGGTAGGACGAGAAGCAAAACAGCTCAAAGTGTCTTAAAATCTTTCCGACTCTTTTAAACAATGATTGAAGATGACAGCAGTTGAAACCATTTTACCTTTATCTTTCGCGCCGGAAATCAGGAAAACCTTGCGAAGTCGAAAACTAATCTGGAATTGATTATCTCTAAAGCTACGTCCAAGCACTTGTGTGAATTCGGGATGGCGCGATTAGCAATTAACAACTTAGCGCCGACACCCGTAAAGTGTCTGAATCAACTGTGATTTCCGTAGCCACGTTCACGAGATGCAAAGGAGCCAATCCGTGGCTTAGCTTCAGTAGAGGAGCAAGGAAAATTAAGAAGATATCATGTTACCCTCAGATAACTTTCACTCTCTTTTTCGCTCCCGTGCGCTCGCATAACTTCAAGAATCTCTTTCATAATAATGTAAGAGTTGAGATCAACCCAAATTAAAGAGCCTACTAACATCACACTTACCTCTGGATAAACGTCATTTGAGAACATTAAGATTGCTGTTTTGTCCTTTGAACTTCGTCTGTAGCAAGAGCTTAAATAAAATCTATCAACTTCTAGGTTTCCCAGAAAATCTCTTGAACACTTTCAGGATATTTAAGTTTTCAGGCTATGATCGCCGTAAGATACATGCTTACATACATATTTAAGTAATTGTGTAAATAATTAAATATACTTAAACAAAGACATGAAGATAAGAACGTTCAGTCCCAGCTTCAAGATTAGACCCTGTAATGAAAGAATATATATATTTTTTGAGGATTTTTCATAAAGATAACGCTGCCAAAATTCATCAATGATTAAAAACAATAGATTGTGATTCCAACGCTCTCTCCCTCTTAGAAAATTACTGACGCGCAGACTTCTTGGGGAATGAAGGGCGTTAGACTATTAGGAATCCCCTAACAGTACTTGACAAGCAAATTGAGAGAACAAAATATTGAGGTATGATAACAGTAAAATTTATTCTAACTAGTCACAACAGTTACATAAATTGTCATCCCTTGGATGATGGGCTACTGGCATTGTATAACAATAACAACGGGAATAGGAAAATGATCTACGCAGTAATGAACACTACTTGAGCAGTGGTGAAAATAAGGCCTGAAAAAAATTCAGGCCTGTACAGGATCCCGTACAGGCCTGAATTTTTTTTTCACTCCTGCTCAAGTAGCGTTCATTACTAGTACTGCGAAGATCGCTTTCATATTCACGTCTTCATCCACAGTTCAAATATATGACTTTCATATAATTACAGTAGTTTAAAAATAACAATGTGACAACATAACAGGAGTGCCAACACCAAAAATTATGGACAACTTATCAATCCTAAGCTATTAATCTTAAGCTACTCAAGGAACGGTCATAGATATTAATAATGAATTGATAATAGCTATTAGTAAATGCTAAAACAGTGGATGGCGTTAAAAGCGCTCTGATTGGCTACTTAAACTTCCTGTGGCAACTCGTGCGGGATTTGGAAACCGAAAGTATAGTAATCGTTGCAGAAATAAATTAGTTAATTAACAATTGGGTCATACGTCAGCGTGCGTTCATCTAGATATGAAGTACGCGGGAAGTCCGGAGAGCACGAAAGATGCGTAAGAAATGCTCGAGGCGTAGCCTCAACTGATGATAAGGAACCTCCAAACTTCCCAAGTGCTTCATGTCTCGATGAACGCACAGCTGACGTATGAACCACTTGTTTTATAACCATTTTCAACACGATGGAAAATTTTTGTCGAAGGATTTGTTTGCTGGCGTCATGAGCGTGCATAATAGGGATTCGAAGCACGCTCGCGCAACTGAATTTGATCAGACAAAGTTACTAGCTATGTTATAAAATCATTTTTTTGTGCTGTTATCTCACTCTTTAAGTATATACTTAGATGACTGACCACCAATACTCACGTGAATATTTGTTAATTATTACCTTAAATCTGGAGATTTAAAGGAATTGTCAACATCTAACCTTTTACTTAAACACATACAATTGCCTTAATCTTTGTGCAAAGGAGATAGAAGAAACTGAACTAAACCTGCTTATAAAAATGTGAAATCCAAAAGTTCGAAAAAATTCGTAAGATTATCTTAAAGTGATTTAAATCATTTCGTTGCAACACGGGTAAATGTTTTTTTAAATGCTTCACGCGTTTTTTCCAGACTACACCAGCCTGCTTTAATCTCTGCTTACGATAATCCAATTTTTTTAGAGATATGATGTAATATTATGCTTTCGTATATGTCACATAGGTGATTAATCCTTTTCGCACGCGCTGATTCGCTAGTTTGGAAGTAATTAAAAAAATCTCACGTCAAGAGTTTAAGTCCCAACCATTTTTTGTAATTTTGACCAAATTTTGATTTCTATGTGGTATATACTCAAACAGTTATTCAGAGTTATTCACCTTCGTGGCTAAGTAAACATCAACCCAAATCACCTCCACTTCTGCTAATAACTGTTAACTATAAACTACATTTGAAAGACACTATGAAACTACCTGGTAAATGTAGATACATTTGTATAATCACTCGAATAGGAAAAGATGACGATACTACTCTCACAGGGGCTCTCTGGCCCCCCAGGAATATAACTGGTTACATTGTAGCAGCAAATTACCAGGGAATACTGAAAAAGTACATGTCTCAGTGTTATTTGCATTTTAGAAGCGACCCTTGCGTTTTACAAACAAGCAAACCAAACAAGAAATTGGTATTTAGCCAGTTGATGTAAGCTGCCAGAGAGCATAAATATGCAGTACAGCATACTTTGTGAGTAGCCAGCTTTTTTTCCTTCCACAAAACCGATGAGCTACTTCGAGTGGAGAAACCATGCCTTGTGCAGGTGCAAAACTCAGGACGAGTAGTTGATATCATTGTTCTTTGGTTTTAATGTTGTTTCCTTTAAAAAACCTTATATTAGATAAGATTTTAAACTTTGGTTATACTTCCCTTTGAAGCCAAAATCAAGATACTATAATTAGAAAGGCCTATGTTTAAGCGTGAAATTACCTGTTTAATTTAGAGATTTCACCCTCACTGATACCCTAAAAATGACTCTACCTTTTTTTTAAAAGGTTAAATTAGGCAAAAAAAGAGTAACAAAAGTTTAGTTTTTTTTTAAGTCTTAACTAAGAATTTTATCTTCAGATCTGACTTTATTTTGTGTTTACTTGTATTCGGTGGAATGCTATTTGATGGTTCTCTTAAATGTGCACCTAGAAAATGTCTTATACACCCTTCATGGTGCTTTAATCAGGAAAAGAGACATGAGAAGTGGCACATGAAATAAAATGATATCAGTTACATGACATTAAACTAATCTTCATCTACAACCCCCTGACTTATTGTCACTAAGTGGTTGTTTGATGGTCAAAATGTATTTCTACTTAGGTTACTCTTCAGCTGACCTTGCATGGTACTTCACCTCAAGCATTAAACTGCCTGATCACATGATCAATAGGGGCCCTGCAAATTGGGCAAGGGTCCCCCCTTTGTTTGAGCACTTGCGCACAGGCATAGCAACAACAGCAGTGTCCTGTGTCACCATGTATGACTGTAGCATTTTTGGGTTGTTCCATGCAAATGATGCACTTGGAATTGTCATCTGTGTCTTCTGGAGAAGCAAGAGTGTTGCCTTTCTCTGTCACAAATGGCAATGGTGAGGCAGACTCACTGTTTGGTGTTGGCGTCAAGCGATTTCTAACAACCCAAGGGTTCTCTTGTGGTTGCCGCCCTTCAAAAAGTAGATTTATGAGTTAATGATCTTGACTGAAACATACAAAATTTCCTGAACATTTAGGCTGTAGGAGGAAAAAAGGTGAAGTGGTAAGTCACCCCCCAGCTTGACAGATGGAGACCCTAAGTAGGTACTGTTTGGAGCTCTTGAGCAAGACATCCCATCCTCATAATGCCTCTCTAGAGCCAGGAGTATAACTGATTACCAGAAATCAGTATGGGAGATGTAACAAAATCAATCACTTGGTTATGAGGACATGAAATTGAAGGAAGTCTCAGTATGTACATGTGCTATTGCCTAGAAGACAGTCATTAAAAGACAGTCATCAAAACAAGTCTGACTTGAGCTTCAATAGGACTACAGGTGTTAGGTTATACTAACTGAGTGTATACAAACCTGTTCTGAGCAGGGCAAATCCCCTATTTCTGCCTAAATGTCCTGGTGATGGGCCTGTTTGATCGGCAGCTAAATAACCACACACAAAAAGAAATTGTCAGAAAACTCAAGTGAAAAAGACATGAGGAAAATCAGAGAAAAAGTTACATGCACAGTATGACTTTCAATGCCTATCTCCACACAGGAATGTTTCAAGTCCTGGCAAATGTCATGGGAACCTTCTGTTTTGAAATGCTGGGGCTACTTAACCCTTTGACATCTTATAGTGACCTGCATCTATTTTCCCTCTACCATATCACCCCTGAATTAAAAATCAATGCAATGAGAAGAAAGCACATGATCACCTAGTGTTGAGGATCTTGATTGGTACTTAGTAAATTCTCCTGTCAGTACCATAAGAACTGTATGAAGGACAGTATGGAGAAAATACAAACTGATTTTAAGTGAAAAGAAATAACCCTGGACTGGACTGGCCTGCCATCCCATCCAGAGGTGGGGGTTAGGGAGGGGAGGGGAGGGGAGGGGAGAATTACTCCCTATCATCCTATACTGCTACAACTGGGATGATAACAAAGGCTCTACTGTAGCAGTGAGAGCCATTTGACTGAAGCAGAAATTCACTTGTTTCCTGTATAAGGGCATCTAGGCCTGGCAGTAAAATTGTTTCTGACCTGTTCCTACTGGATATGAATTCTTACCTTCAATTCCTGTACTCATACAGTCATGACAAAGATCAAATTCGCATGTTTGGCAATGCCATGGTTTGTTATCCGTGGGGTTATTGTGCACGGATTCACAACGATCACATCGCCAGCCACCACTGAATTGCGCATACACATGATGTGAGTCTGCCTTGTATAGCGGGTGTTCATGTAGAGGTGTAGTATGCGGCCTAAAACATTCTTGGCACACATCAAATTCACAATCTCCACAATGATGAGAGAAGCTGAAAGAAAACAAGGAAAACATTACTCAAAACATCAATGCAATACCCTTTCTCAACCACTTTTCTTAGTGAAGAATAAAGACTTGATATGGGATATCACAAAAGAAAATTTCACTTACTTTTCATATGGCCTACTCGTGGTCCCACAGATGTCACAAAACCAGTTTCCACCAGTTTGAGAATAGATTAGTGACGTGTCAACCACTTTAAGCTCATGAATATGGATAGGATGCCTCTTAGGCTCATAACAGCTGCGGCAAACATCAAAGTCCTCACAAGTTGGGCAGTGGTATGAGAATGTTTCTCTCAGTGCATCACTTGTCTTTTTACAAACATCGCACCGCCAAATTCCACCCCGATTTTGATAACATAGTCGACTGGTCTCCATGTAATACAGCTGATGCCGATGGATCAAGTTGCTTGCCTGATTCTGTATGTTCATACAAGAATAGCACAGGTCGAAAGAACACAGTCTACAGTGGAAGGGAAAAGGGTTCATCCCACCACTCTCAGAATTGCAGTTGTCACACTTCCACCGTCCTCCATATGGTCTATACACTTCCATAGGATTGACCTGCTCCAGGGGATGTTCATGAAGTGGGGAGAGCATCTCTCCACGTTGTTCAATATAATTATGTTGATGGTTAAATACCTGCAAAGAACAGTTTTCCATTTCATCTAATATTCTCACAGAGAACTATGATTTATTAAATAAAACAAACACAATAATCAATATTTTGCAAATGAGAGAATTTTCCCACAGAGATATTTTTTGATCAAATCTTTGGAATATTTCTGTTTCTTTACACTTTTATCCTGTTGTATGGAACATTTCAAATGAAAGATTCAAATGAATCCATAGAAGAGAGAACTTAGAAAAGTGGTACCAAGTGACAACTTGAAATGGTTTGGTTTTCTATCAAGCTATTTGGTAAAAGACAAATAACAATAAACCGAGGATTCCCCATTCCAATGGCATCAAAAATTCTTACCTCACTGACTCTAATGATCACCTCCATTGTGTTAAAATAAAAATACTGCTATGTCAATTATATGTTAATTTTGAATCAACTTCTTG